TGTCTGCGGGGCTTTACAAAGGGGGTGGGTGAGGTGTTTGAGCGGGGAGGTTTGCTTGTTTAGCCTTGGAAGGCCTGAGAAGACAGAATGAGGCACTGTTGTCTAAAGAGGTAGTTGGGTAACGAAAATATTCTGTGATTTGGGGCGTTATGCACAAGGACGTCGGGTCTGTTCATGGTTAATGCAGTTTTGCATCACCAAAACAGGCTTGTGTGTCTCTCAACTTGCATTGCATAGATCTCGGCTTAATAATCATAATAACAATATCTATTTTACATTAATTAAAAGAACATCCTGTACACCGCTGAATTGGAGGTTAGATGCAATACCAGTAAGGCACCCACTGAGCATGGCAGTGCCTGCAGAAAAGGCTGCCTTTCCTTTTGGAATTGCTGAAGTCTGCCGGAAGATAAACCAGCACACGTTTCCTGATCCCACTACCAGGGAGCCTGCCAGCTGGCCCATAACTTGTGGCAGGGTGTGACTGGTAGAAGTGGGTGTCCTGTTCTCTGAACCAACACAGTGACAAAGGGAAGGCCGGGACCAGTGATCCTCTCCATGCATTCTGGAACAAGAACTTGCTTCTGGCTACTATTGGGACCTATGTTTACAGAAAACCTTTTAACAAGTTTAACAAAAGTTACTTGTTAGTAATAACTAAAATTTGCACAAATACTGAATCTATTCAGAATATGACTGTTGCTTTAAAGTTGCTTTAATGTTGTTGCTTTTATTAAAAATCGTGAGTCTTGATTAAATGGCATAAATAAACATTCTTTTTCTATAGGAGTCTATAGGGAAAAAATGTATTTTTTTAGCATCTGCTTTATTTATGTAATTTAATCAGCATTAAAAAAAATCCAGCATATTAATGACATCAAGAACATATCTGAATGCTGGAAATAAGGGGACACACTTGAAAAATACAGCCTTTCTAATCTGGTGTTGTTTTGTTTGGGTTTTTTTCTTTGCCTACCCAATGTGAAAGCTCCCACCATTTCAGTTAGAAATTAATTGGAACCTGTGACCAGTATTTTATTACATGTTGAAAACACGTAGATAATAATTTCCAAGTCAGGTTTTATAAAAGGCTGCTATTTAATATACCTGGCGTACGGTAAAGTGGGTTAAGCAGGTTATAAACAGCACTCGGGAGGGGCAGGACAGTGGACATGGGAGGAAGCCTTTGGGAATATGCAAAATGCCCTCTTCATCTTACTGCCTCATGTCAGGTGGTGACATTGTTTCTTGTGGGACCACTATCCTTACAGTTTTGTTAAGCTGAATAGTACATGTTTCTGACGTTTGGTCATACTGAGCTGCTGAGAATTCTGGAAGAATCTGGATATTTTTACCTCCCTTTAACTTAAGTAGAAATTGAGCATTCAGCCCCTCTGGTGGGGTCTTAGCATCTTGCAGGACCCTTGCAGCGAGGAGGGGACAATACCCTGCTACCACTCCCTCCTGCACAAGGCAGGATACAGTCTAGCCTAAATATTTGTTAATTCATAATAGTCTGCCTAGGTGCTGTACATTCAAAACTTGTTTGTTTTATATGGATAAACCAACCCTATCAATGCAAATATTTGCTGTTGCAAACTCTTACTGCACATGCAGCTGTGGGAGGTTGCCTGGTTTGCTGCTGATTAGATTTGTAGAGTGAGTGACAGCCCTGGATGGAATCCAAATCATACATTAATATTAATTAAACTGATGTAAGCTAATGCAGAATAAACAGTAAGCGGCAGCTAACTCAACAACTGTAATTAACTGTCCACTCTAGCACCAAGATTCTTTGTTAGAAGATGCCTGATGGATACTTCACGTTATATGTTGTTCAGGAAAAGGGAACAGAATCATAGCCAAGTTACACTTACGTTAAGGAAAAATTACAGAAAAGTTACAAGCTAGAAAGTACTAGGAAAAAAATTAAACAAGGCTCTTTAATAGCTGTTCAATATTTTTTTATAACACAAGAGGCTGTCAAAGGAAAAGATCTTAAATCTTCTGAATACTACTTTGAAATAAGAGGAACCATCTAGCAGCATGGTACTTGTTATGAAACTGTAACTAAAGAAGGTTAATACCTATATAATCTGTACATTGAATGAATTCACTTGTTTTTATTAATTCAAGGTACTTTGTATTCTCCACCTCATTTATTACATTCTGTGTCGTATTTGCTGTGGCTGCCGGGGGTTACCATAAAGTCAGAGGCAATGAAGATGGGTGCTCATCTAACAGGTGCTCCACTCCCTTTGTTCTTTGTATACACATATTCAAATCACATAAGGCAGGGGACAGGATAGGGCCTGTTAACTCATTGCTCATTTCCCTAGCAAATAAACCAGCAGCTGCGGGTCCAAGCCCTGGCTTAGAGCTGAGAAGAAGGTGGGATTCGTGTGGGACAGGATGCTTTCATGGAGCCCTTTAGCCAACTTCTTTTGGGACTTACAGTGCAAAATATATTTTCTGCTTGTAGGTAAGAAACAGTATGAATTATATTTGATTGTCACTGTGGAAATGTGGGTTGGTTTTTATACTTCTAAATTTGAAGATATTTCTGTTGTATTGCAATACAACAGAATTTTTTATTTCAAGAAAGTAGCCTAGAAGCTTTTAATCAGATAGTGTCACTTTGTTTTATGAGCAAAGCTATAAACTTTTAGCAACTGAAAAAAATTAGTGGTATCTAGATAATCTGCATATAAAACATGGTCATCGGTTACATATACATCAACATTTTGTTAATATGTACATTATGCATTCTTTTTAACAAGTAAGGCTGGACAGGTTCTAAATAAAAGTTTATAGAAAAGTTGTTACACATCTCTTTAAAAATGCATTATGTTGGGATATTGCTGATGCACTATTTTTTAGTTCATTATTGTACCTTACAGCTAATACAGAGTATTTCTATATAATATTTAAATGTACTTGGTACTAAAACTGAATTAAGCTTTGAATTCTCTGAAGAATGTTTTCCCATTTGTTTGGTGACTGGTTGCAGTCTTCACAAATATACATTTGTTATCCATGCACTTGATAAAAAATAGATGCTCTATGCACTTTGACAAGAATATCCTGTGATCAAATGTTAGATAAACATATTTCTACAAACTTGTAGTTCGCTTTTTCTGTATTTGTTTTTGTAAATATTCACAGAGGGAATATATACTATTAAAAATGTAGTGCATCCTCTACTCATTCATGTCCAAGGAAAATTTTTCTTTGATCTTCTTTGTGATCTTCATATACAGTCCCATAGTTCCCTTGATTTTGAGCTAAGTACTTTGTCAAAAGTTTTGGCTTCATAACAGTTGAAGATTATTGATTTTCTTCTTTAAAAATGAAAATGCTGGTTAATAAAAAACCACAGTGAATATGGATTTTATCTACATTGCAACTTTACCAGATTTTTATTTTTTTTTAATCATACAAGAGTTATTGGTATGCAAGCAGAGTGCTTTAGACTACCTGTTTGTTCACCTGGTCCTATCATCATATACCCTTCCTCAAATATATGTTTCCTAGTATGGGAAATACGCAGCTTGCACTTCATATCATTAAAAGAATCAGATGCACTGGGGGCATGACCCAAAGCCCATCAAAGATATTGACCTCAGAAGCTAAAATTAGGTCCAATAACAAAACTCAGTAGAACTTGCTTTTGGGCAAAAACCTCAAAGTGGGGAAGTGTATGCCCAAGTCACTCCTGATACAAATGGGGCTGTGGAAATGGCAGATTCCCTGGTCCATTATATCTGAGGTTTTTTCATAAATTAACATATTTGCAAAAAGTGTAAAACTATTAGCACTGACCTAGTGACATTTTACACTGTATTCAATGGTTTCAGAAAGCTGAAGAGCTAAATGGATGCTGGTAAGAAGTAGTTGAGAATCCAAACTCTCTTTGACAAGGAGATGTGCATGTTAAACGAAATAAACCAATAAAATCTCACCAAGCAGGTTTCAGTTTATGCCGTAAACTCAAAAATTATGTCACAGTTTTTTCTTTAAACTAAAGCTGCAGCCCTTGTTTTATGTCAACAAGGATTCTGTTGTGCTTGCTAATACTAGTGATGGCATAGTGAGATGGAAGCAAAGCACAGATCACTGAGCCCTAAATGGAGGTCATTTTGGTACAACCCACTTGCCTTACTGTTATTATACAAAAGCTAGTTTTCAGAATTCCATCATCTTGGAGAAATGTGTGTTATATATAGAAAGCTATAGAGACAGTCTTAAATTACATGGAATCTGTGTCCAGTGAGAATGAAGCAAGAGTTTGGCACATTGTCTTGATTTCACTCTTTACATTGATTCAAGGATTCAAGGATAACAGTCTTCAGTTTCAACTACAACTCAAAACTTATTAAATTAGCCTAATATTCCAAACTGCAAGAGATTTGATCTCTGTGAAAGCCAGAAGTATCCCAGCATTGCTCCTAGCCTTCAGCAGAGCGCCTCTGGCAAATAACAGCTTCTCCCAG